CTGACTCTAACACTCATTTGCCTTCTCTCATGTCTGAATGAGTAAGACCAACTGCATCTTTATCTTGCTGATCTTAAGTTTTTCAGAAACTGCCTAGAGTCAGGGATCACCACTTCCAGACCCAGAACTTGTTACTCTTGTCATAAGATGCCTACTACAATAGACCAAAGAGCTATCCTCAAACCAGGTTCCCTCCATTGGTGTATTTTTCCCCAGAACTAAAAATGTAAATAATCTTTCCCTACTGCCCCACCCCACACCCCATGACCACATCTAAGTGTGTTGGCAGCCAGCTGCAGGATCCATTTCCCTGGGCAGTACTGACTAGGTGGTTTTGAGTACAGTTTTATAGCCAATTGCATCAAGCCCCTTCCAGGAAACATTTTAGGGGGCTACTGGGGTTCAAACATATTTTGCTCCAAATATGGTAACTTTATTTTTCCTGTCCCTTTTGCAGTCAATCGAACCATCTAATACTTCAATTACCTCTCTTCTCCTTTTACACTTCATGCTTCCTTTTTTTTTTTGTACTTTCCAGCTACAGTGATAGGCATGTAAAGTGTGTACATTTGGATATTTCCCAGTACTCTAAAATCTTTTATTCCTCCACAAGAGAATAGTGAGTGAGAAGAGGTGAAGTGAAAATCAACAAAATGCAACCTGAAAATGGATGAGATTCAGTAGCTAAACTTGCAGAATGGAGCTTGCTATTGAAGCTATGCTTTTGCCAACATGCTTAAATAAACAATCTTTTTAAATATTTAAAGCACTTAAGAATTTAAAAAAACCAAAGGTCAAACAAAACTTTTAATTAAGTACTTGTGTTTAATTAGGCATGTCTTCATTTTTCATTTAAAAAGATGTCTCCAGTTATGTGAAGAAAAAGTCACTAAGAAAAAAACACTAACACGTCTCTAAACATACTGCTACATGAAAACGCAAAGAAAAAGCATTTATCATGCACCTTCCTAATAATTCTACACAGTGTTTCACTCACTGGAAAAGCTTGAAAAAAGAAAATTTCCACTTTTTCAACTACAAAAGCAATTAAGTTTTCTTAAAAAACTGTCTCCTGTCTATATTGCCAAATATAAAAATCACTATTAAAATATTAGCTCCTAAATGACAGGGTGTGAGGAAACCTTTTTCCATGCTAGAATTCAGAACTGACTGAAAGACAGTAGTTAGACTGGTGCTAATCCAAAGACTTCCTTTACTACTGATAAAGCCAGAGTGGAGACATAATTAATACCAAGGCTAAGTGGGCTTCCTAACAACACACTCCAGAGTTATTCTAACCCAGTCACAAGCAGCACTGAACAACTACTGTCCTCTGGAAATGGGGAGTCTAACTTTGGTAGTCTCATGAAAAAGCAGGGCAAATTCAGTGCTTTCTGCAGGAAGAAGATTCCCAGAGAAAGAGAGAAAGGGGTTCAGCCATATTTCATGAGTGTTCCCTCTTAAAAACTCATCAAAGCAAAGTGAGGAGGTTTGAAAACAGGAGCAAGTCAGACTATTTTAATGCATTCACTAAAAACAGCAAGGGTTTGGCACTGTACCTCATGCTTGTAACGCCAACATTTTGGGAGGCCAAGTGGGGAGAACTGCTTGGGCCCAGGAGTTTGAGACCAGCCTGCGCAACATAGCAAGACCTCACATACATATGTATTTTTGAGGCAGAGTCTTGCTCTGTCACCAGTCTGAAGTGCACTGGCACGATCTCAGCTCACTGTAACCTCCGCCTACCAGGTTCAAGAGATTCCCCTGCCTCAGCCTCTGAAGTAGCTGGGATTGCAGGCATGCGAGACGTCCAGTTAACTTTTTGTATTTTAGTACAGACAGGGTTTCACCATGTTAGCCAGGCTGGTCTTGAACTGACCTCGTGATCTGCCCACCTCAGCCTCCCAAACTGCTAGGGTTACAGGCATGAGACACCATGCCCAGCAACCTCACTTATATTGAAAAAAAAAAAAAAAAAATTAAGAAAAAAAGCAAGAAGGGCTGGGCATTGTGGCTCATGCCTGTAATGCCATTACTTTGGGAGGCTGAGGCGGACAGACTGCCTGAGGTCAGGAGTTCAAGACCAGCCTGACCAACTTGGTGAAGCCCCATCTCTACTAAAAATAAAAATAAAATTAACCAGGTGTGGTGGCACAGGCCTGTAATCCCAGCTACTCGGGAGGCTGAGGCAGGGAACTGCCTGAACCAGGGAGGTGGAGGTTGCAGTAAGCCGAGATCTTGCCACTGCACTCCAACCTGAGCAAGAGAAAGAGAAAGAGAGAGAGATAGGAGGGAGGGAAGGAAGGAAAGAGAAACAAAGCAAGAAATCTACTTAATATGCCACAAACCAATTTACCTGGCTATAAGTGCAATTTTTATCTTAATCATACCTGTTAGTAAAATGGTCTCAAGCTGTGAGTGCAGCCATGCAGACAAAACCATGTGAAAATCAAATATTTAGATATTTTAAATATCTGTAAATTTTAAGAATATGAACAAATATAGAGCATTTCCATATCTTAGAAACCCAACACGGTATTTAAGTTAGGACATATGCGGAACTTGAGTTCAGGAGACAGGAACCAACCTCCACTTAAAATTATGCAAATCGTGTGAGAATCTATAAAAAGGAGACAGCTTGGTCACTGAGAAAACTGGCTGTGAATTTCACACCTGGCCCAAACCTCTGGTCATAATTACATTTACCTAAGATAAGCAAATTATCTTTCAACACCAGAAATGTTTACAAACAAGCCGGTTACTGGTTCTGCAATCTGGGCAGAGGTGGGAGGATGGCTTGTGCTCAGGAGTTCGGCCTAGGCAACATAAGAGACCAGCCTAGGCAACATAGTGAGGCTCTGTCTCCACAAAAGACGCAAAAATTAGCTGGGCGTGGTGGTGTGCACCTTCAGTCCCAGCGACAGTTACTCAGGAGGCTTAGATGGAAGAACAGTTGGAGCCCGGGACACAGAGGCTAAAGTGAGCAGGGATCTCAGCACCTGCACTCCAGCCTGGGCATGCCAGACCCTGTCTCAAAAAAAAAAAAAAAAAAATTATAAACAAGTATGGAATGCTGAAGAGAAACAAAATCCAAGTATTATTTGGTAATTTGTATACAGTATTTGTAACGCCTGAGAATTTAGCCTAAAGTGACAGCTTAATTTATGTTCTTTTTAGAAATTGAAATCTTGCTAAATACTGAAACACCTAAGAAAACTTTGGACTCAAGACAAATGAAGTTAAGGAAAGCATGTGTTAAACACAGCTTAAACTGTTGGAAGATGCATAAATTTGTTAATGGCAACTGTAACTCCTAACAGCTAGACTTGTAAACAGATTTAAAAAGCTGGAGTTAGGTCGGCGCGGTGGCTCAAGCCTGTAATCCCAGCACTTTGGGAGGCCGAGGCTGGTGGATCATGAGGTCAAGAGATTGAGACCATCCTGGTCAACATGGTGAAACCCCATCTCTACTAAAAATACAAAAACTTAGTTGGGCATGGTGGTGCGTGCCTGTAATCCCAGCTACTCGGGAGGCTGAGGCAGGAGAATTGCCTGAACCCAGGAGGTGGAGGTTGCGGTGAGCCGAGATCACACCACTGCACTCCAGCCTGGGTAACGAGCAAAACTCCGTCTCAAAAAAAAAAAAAAAAAAAAAAAAAAGCTGGAGTTAAATCCTCAAGAAACAGGTTTCTGAAATGTAATTTTATTTTTAAGATTATCGTAAACCTTTTCTGCATACAAACTGTCCACATGGACACCAAGAAAATTTTACACAATGCAATTTCACCAAAAATCAGAATTTTAAAGAAATTCTTGCAGCACAGAAAATGCCATCATTTATTCATAACTGAACAAATGAAGTAAATAATTTTTTAAAAGACTAAGAATAGAAACAAATTGAAAATACTCATTTTTGTATTTTTTTACAGGATTCCTTAAAGTCATCTTCCAATACTCCACGTCACATGAAGAGTCACCTACTAAACACCAAACCTAATCATTAAACAAGCTTTTAAAATCCTTCCATAACTCCCTTTATTAAAATTGTTTTCTTGACATACAGTACCTTTACAGGTATTACATTTCTTCTCAGTGTTTACAAGCATTTTTCTCATGTTTTCCTTCAACAGTTTCACCAAACATCTGCCCCCCAGTTTTCTCAAGTAAAAATCAAGTACCAAATCCTGACATGACGCCTTATTGCACCTAATATGTTGGCAATACATTCCCCTCTCCAAAAGTTTACATGTTAGAATGAAAAGCTAAGTAGGTTTTCTTTAGCTGTGTTCTCAAATAACACTAACTTTTACACGTGTTTGGGCATAAAACTTTAAATGTTTTCCCCAAAAATGTGACCCAACTCAGATACAAAACTACTGCTCAAACGGCAGAAGCCGCTGATCTTGTCTTTGGTTTTAATTTACATATTTTTCTGAGTATCGAAATCTGTTCCTAGAACAAAACATAACCTAAACAAGGCGAACGCCAGTCACGGCTTCCTACCCGCGTCTGTCCACGGCAAGCTTTTCCTGGACACACTCGGGCCTTTGAAAATGCCCACACTTGTTTTCATAAACCCACTCCTTCCTCTTCACCCACTTGCAATCCGCATGCTTCCCTGGGGCCACCCGGCCTCTCCCCCACTTTCCGAACCCAAGGGCGACAGCTCGGTCTCTAACCTCCAGCGCGCCGAATCGGAGGGAGACCCGGGTCCGCGCCCCATGCCCCCGAGGCGGCGGTGGCTGCGGCGATCCGGAGGGAAGGAAGCGGGAAAGCGGCCGGCGCGGCGCCCCCTCCCCCGCGTGCGCACACCCCCTTCCGGCGCCCCTCCCCCTGCATTGTGCGAGCCGGCCCCAGGCCGCACAGGCCGGGGAACCCCGCAGGCCCCGTCCGCCCTCCCACCCGCGATCGGCTACCGCTAAGGCCGCCCCACAAAGCCCAGGGAGCCAGCCTCGGCGGCGCCAAAGGACCGGAGAAAGAGCAAGCGCGGAATGACTTACGGGGCTGCTGCGGCCGCGCTGCCTCAGCCGGGGACACCGACCGTTGGGCACACGGCGGCGTCGCTCTTGGCGGTCCTCCCCCTCCTCCGCCTTCGGTGGCGGCAATGTCTTCTTTCTCCACCTACCACCCTCCCCCCCCACCCCACCTCCTCCTTCTCCTCCCCCTCCTCCTCCGAACCACCGAAGTACCGAGGGTGAGACACAGAGACTCACAACAACATGGCTGCCACCGCCGCCTCCCCTCCCCTCCCCCCGCCCACCGGGCGCGCGCAATGCACCCCGGGAGAAAGGGGAGGGGGAGCGCTCACCGAGGCGCGGCTCCTTTCAATGCCTAGCATCCCTGCTCCCGCGCTCCCGCCGCGCGGGCCCGGGGCGCTCTGCGCGTGCGCACGCTCTCTGCGATCTCACGTGTTCGGCCGCGTCTCCGGCGTTCCCTCCCCCGCCCTCACCTTGTGGGCTCGCGCTTCTATTCCGGACTGTGTCGCCGCGGGACTCGGACAGCGCAGGCGTGCTGTTGCCAAACGCTGTGTTAGCTGTCTTCCCGCGTGGGGCCTCGACTTCTGAATCCTTTCACCCTCGGCTTCCTCCCCAGTTGCTCATTGTTTTAGCCCAACTGCGTGTGCGGGTGTCGGCGCCCGCGCCGCCCACCTTGGGGTACTCCTGGCATTTCGCTTCCGGAGTGCTGGCGCCAACCAGAGCTGGACGTTAATTCAGGTCTTAAGCTTTCACCCTGTGCCTCCCCACGATGGAGATGCGTCTGGGCGTGGAAAATTGTACCCCACAAGAGGGTTGTCACTCTCGTGGTTGCACCCCAGGCTAGTGGAGCCAGCTCTCAGCAAATTGTCGGCTCCCAGTGCTTGGCCCGGGTGCACACAAAGGAAACTCATGTCGGTCTCCAGCTGGGCCAGTGATTCTCACTCGTTGGCTGTCTTTCCTTCTCGCGGACCTAACGCTCTCTCCTCCCGGGTTTACAGGCTAGTTGGATACCAAATCTGCCTTGCTGTCGTGGCCCCGGTGCAAAGCCGCGGTGATTCCAGGATTGTAACCTAACTTGCTCCAGGTCACACAGCTGTAACAGGCACTGTGTCCGATTTGTTCTTGATGGTTTGCACAGCTCCTGGCTCTCCTGATAACGCTGCACTTCGTAAACATTCAGGGCCTTCTAATTACTTGGCTTAATGTATGTCTTCCCTAGGCGACTGTGAGCTCTGCGAGGGCAGGGATCTTGTGTTTTGTTCCACACTGTGCCCCCAAGTGCCTGTTGAATAAATAGGCTCTTCGGCTTTTAGTTATTACCGAAAACTGTCTGACATTGAAATGCATCCCAAGCTCCTACCTTAGGCTCGTATCTCAGGCTTCTAGATATTTTCACTTGAATATTCCTCTTGTCACCAAGCACGTTAAAAAATGAAGTCACACCCATCCCCTATCCCCGACTCTGGTATTGTCTCTATAGTTGGCAGTGCCACCATCTAATCATTCCCCAGATTACCCCTCTGAGAACCATCCTTGTCTCTCCTCCTATCCCCCATTCCAAATATAAATAACTTACCAAGCCTCGCAGATTTTTACTTCCCAAGTAATTTTGGAGACAGTCTCTTCCTCTGCCTCCTCACTAATACTAGCCTTGCTTCCCAGGTCTGAATTTCTGTAGCTGGCTCTTAATCAGCTTTCCTGTCTCCAGTCTCACTCCCTCCAATCAGGTCTGCTCACTGCTATCTAAAATGCAAATCCAATTCCTGGCGCTCAGGCCTCTGCCTCAACCATCTCTTTGCTCTGCATCACCCACGACAGCATTTCCCTAGTGTGCTATATTCGGTGTTAATAGATGTTCCTTTAAGAAATGTCTCACCATCAAATAAGAATGGGAGATACTGGGGTGTACACATTTTGTCTTCCTTCTCCTTACCACTCGATTGAGCTGACAATAGCAGAAGGGTCTTTATATCCAGTTGCTTGGTGTGAGCAAAACTAGATAAATCCATCAGAGGCCCTCCCTTAGAATATGGAATTGGGACTAATAGACCCCAACCTCCAAGGTCTCTTGGACCTGGTATCCCTTGGGCAGACTTGTTACATCCTGTAAGATCGGGAACCTGTAGAGAAGAGTGTAGTTGAGAGAGAAAAGGAGAATGCTGACTTTGTCTCTCACGTTCCTGTGCCTGGCTGGCTGCCTCTACTCTTGGAGTCTGAGCCTCATTCCTGGATCCTTACAATAAATTCTGCTTCTTTGCTTAAGCTAGATGAAGTGAGTTTCTGTTACAACCAAGAGTCCTGCTAGAAGCCGTGTGTGCAAGCACCACCACATTTCCATACATTGTCTCATTTAATGTTCCCGATATCCCCATGAGCAAGGTGACCTGTGCAGTTGCACAAAGTCTGTGGGTGCCTAGAAAGGTTCTACAATTGGTTTAATGCTCTGTTGTCACCAGCCAGAAAGTCAAATAGAGATAATACCTCATAGGCAATTTAAACTCTATAATTTGTAGAGCTCAGTTCAAAATGAAAATGAGAGGCCCCTTTGTCAAAAGCCACTATTTGACAAAAGGTTTATTTACTGCCTGACTTCTTAGTGCCTTTAAAATCAAAATATTTGAGGCCGGGCGCCATGGCTCATGGCTCACGCCTGTAATCCCAGCACTTTGGGAGGCCTAGGTCACGAGGTCAGGAGGTTGAGACCATCCTGGCCAACATGGTGAAACCCTATCTTTTTTAAAAAAAATCAAAATATGCATTGTAAATATCCAAGTGAGGGACATAATATGCAGTGTATCCCAACCAAATTCGACCCTAAAAGGCGTTTCTTCATGGAGAATCTCTTACAGGTTTGATGCTCTGCAAGATGCAGATTAAAGCCCCACCCTTTAGCGATCTGACTCTGCCTATGTCCCTACCTCTCCAGCTCGTGATTCCCTATGCACAGTGAGCGGTTTCTTGCTTCTGTGCCTTCACATATGCTTTGCAATCTGCCATGCTCATTAAGCACTTCTGATTATAATTGGCTTCTCTTTAGATTTACCTACAAGGAAAGAATATACTCCTCAAGCTAATGTAAATATCTGGTGTGCTTGGTAGTCGAGGTGGACATTGTCATTGACACATCAACAGCCATTCTAATTACCTGGAATCTTGTTAGAAATGCGGAATCTTGGCCCCATGCCAGACCAACTGAATCAGAATCTGCATTTTAACAAAATTCCTGGGCAATTCCTATACATAATAAAGTTTGAGAAACATTAGTAAGCCAATGACAATAATTTCATTCCGCTTGCTAGAAATTGGTTCTATAATGGGCGTGCATTACCCATTTTGAGCAGTGAGACACAAAGAGGTACTAACTCAGAGCTTCTGGAGGTAGAAAAGCCAGTCCAGTCTCTCTCTCCTGAATGTAAACAAGAAAACATGTTGCCACAGTTCATCCTGACAGGCATCTTATGACCACAAGGGAAGTCAGACTGCCAGTAGCCTATCCAGTGTTAATTCTCCCCTTCCCATAACAAGTAGTCATGGTGTGGATACCCCTGTGGACTGGAGGAGGCACAGAATGGAGTGTCTTGAATTTCCAGCAACAAGCATTGCATTTGGGAATGTGTCTCTATGGCCTGTTGAGTCCAGTGGTTCTTGACCAGGGTTGCACATCAGAATCACCTGGGGAACATTTAAAATACATTAATATCTAGGCCCTACCAGCAGAGATTTGGATTTAATGGGTCTGGGATGAACATGGTGGACATGGGTACTTTTTAAAAGCTCCTCACAGCTGGGCATGGTGGCTCATCCCTGTAATCCCAGCACTTTGGAAGGCCGACGTGGGCAGATCACCTAACATCAGGAGTTTGAAACCAGCCTGGCCAACATGGTGAAACCCTGTCTCAAATAAAAATACAAAAATTAGCCAGGTGTGGTGGTGGGCACCTGCGATCCTAGCTACTAGGGAGGCTGAGGCGGGAGAATCACTCGAACCCAGGAGCCAGAGGTTGCAGTGAGTCAAGATTGCGTCATTGCACTCCAGCCTGGGTGACAAATGCAAAACTCCATCTCAAAAAAAAGAAACAAAAATAACAACAAAAAAAACTTCTCAGTAGTTATAATGTATAGCCATGATTGAGAACCACCAATTTAGATCACATCTTACAGCATAAAGCCATTTTAATATTCCCTATGCAAATGCTCTTTTCCACTGAGACTGTGAAACGCCTTGTAAACTCTTTTTGTAACCTTGTTGATTTGATAAAAATAATACAAGCTTGGTTGGGCACAGAGGTCCACACCTGTAATCCCAGCACTTTGGGAGGCCAAGACAGGAGGATCACTTGAAGATAGGTGTTCAAAACCAGCCTGGGAATGGCTCATGCCTGTAATCCCAGCACTTTGGGAAGCCAAGATGGGAGGATCACTTGAGGGCAGGAGTTCAAAACCAGCCTGGGAAACATACATAGCGAGACCCTGTCTCTACAAAAAAATTAAAAATACAAGCCCTTTATAAAAATTGTCAGAAAGACAAAACAGTTCGAATCATCCCAATTTTAATATCACAGAAAACTAATCACATTTGGTGAACACCATTATTACAGGCGTAAATGCAGATTTGAGGATGAAGGGAGAAGCAGACAGGTAGAGTAACATTAATAATGATAGTTTCTCCATAAATTATTTTTAAAACAAATGTTTTTTAAAAAAAATACAGCATTGAAGTTATTTTCATTTGAATTGGACAAAAAAGAAAAACAGAAGGAACTGATCAGAAAACTGTTACTTCATCTCAAGAGAAAATGATTCATAAAACATTTCTCAAAGGCTAAAAATTATTTTGAAAGTGGGGGTCTTGCTGAGGCTGGAAAGCAGTGGCTGGAGAGCATAGGTGCAGTCTTGAACTGGAATGATTCAAATGATCCTTCAACTTTGGCCTCCATAGTACCTGAGACTACAGGCATAAACCACTGTGCTCAGCCTCAAATGTTAAAATTATAAAAATCATTAATAGGACATTGTAATTTTTTTCTTTTTTTTTTTTTTTTTAGAGATGGGGTTTTACCTTGTTGGTCAGGGTGGTTTCCAACTCCTGATCTCAGGTGATCCACCCACCTCAGCCTCCCAAAGTGTTGGGATTACAGGCTTGAGCCACCATGCCCGGCCC